CAATCAGAGAGAAAAAGTTGAGGAACTGATGGTTGAGTCGAGCACAAGATATGCGATTGTATGTGACAACCTGAAGAAGGTCTATACAGGTAGGGATGGGAACCAGCCTAAAATGGCAGTTCAAGGGTTATCTCTCGCTGTGCCATCGGGAGAATGCTTCGGCATGTTAGGGCTTAATGGTGCAGGAAAGACCTCCTTCATCAATATGGTCAGTACCCAAAATTGACACAAAATCTTTTGCACTTTCATTTGAAAAACTCTTGAATATATTGTATTTTTTTCTGGCCAGATGACTGGGCTACTGAAACCAACATCTGGGGCAGCTTTTGTTCGAGGTTTAGACATATGCAAGGATATGGACAGAGCATACACTAGCATGGGTGTATGCCTGCAGCACGAGTAATTAATTAGAATCTTGAAAACACTTTGTTTTGTTCAACTTTACAGAAGAACACATGTAGCTAATTGTTCAAAATTCTCTTATTGTCTGTTTGTGTACCAGCTTGCTATGGGAGACGCTTACTAGAAGGGAACATCTGCTCTTTTATGGGAGACTTAAGAATCTCAAAGGATCTGATCTCAACCAAGTATTATATGTTACCAATATATTATTACTTCTCTAGCTTTTGTATTATACTCCTTAAGAGTATCAAAACATCAATTTCATGCATATTAGGCTGTAGAAGAGTCTCTTAAGAGTGTCAACCTATTTCGCGATGGAGTTGCTGATAAACCTGCTGGAAAATACAGCGGAGGTATGAAAAGGCGGCTAAGTGTAGCCATTTCACTTATTGGGAGTCCTAAGGTTAGTACACCGCTTACCCTTCTCTTGATAAACTATTAAACTTGTAAGCCTTAATTTGGATTCATCTAATTGTTTTCAAAGCTTTAACAAATTCAAAGTTTCATCTAATTGTTTTTTTTTTCTTTCTATTAAAGGTGGTTTATATGGATGAACCGAGCACATGACTCGATCCAGCTTCAAGAATGAACCTATGGACAGTCATCAAACGTGCAAAACAAAACACTGCGATAATCCTCACAACTCATTCAATGGAAGAAGCAGAGTTTCTATCTGACCGATTGGGGATTTTTGTAGACGGAAGTTTAAAGTACATAGTGAACCCAAAAGAGCTAAAGGGAAGATATGGTGGATCTGTGTTTACGATGACAACCTCATCAGATCATGAGAAAGATGTGGAAATGTTGGTTCAAGATTTTTCTCCAAACGCCAAGAAGATTTTGTTGGGAATGTCCTGAAATCATTTGTACTTTACTCTAGTTAAAGTTGAAATGTCGAGGTTTGACATTTGTATAATAGTAGGTGGTTATAATGTTTTGCTAGAAACCGCTTATAATCTATAGACTTAAAAGTTTATTGCTAATATTATATAAACCTACACGGTCACACACCTAACCAAATTGGACCAATATATTTAATTGGGTTTAATAGTGATTAAACCAATTATAATTGTTGGGTTTAATAGATTTATTGTACATGATATATATACTTAACCTGAATTGAAACATTCATGTAAAAGATATTTTTAATTAGATTAAGAGTATAT